CCGCAACATGCCTGTGACGTGACTCTAGGCTTCGTCGTGCCCATGCGAAACTGTGAGCTGCGCGCGCCTTCCCCTGCCCCTGTCCCTCCCCTCCCTCCCGACAAACTAGTAGTATAGCCGTTGGGCCTGACCATAATATACATGGAGATCTTATTCAATAACTGAAAACAAGAGTCTTGCAGGCTGTCGTGTTGGTCTTTCAAAGATTTTCCGAAACCGGTTTGGTGGAGCCTAATCAGAAGCCTAAGTCTTGCACCGACAGGCGCAGAACGAAAAGAGCACCGTCACGACATTCAGTTCACACCCCACTTCCAGATCAGAGTGTTGATGGCTGTTCGTTTAACGTCCATCTGCGACATCCATTTATATGCTCCCAACATCCATTTCCCTTGTTTGGGCTTTGCTATTACCGGACTTTATAAGCCTAAGTGGCTGTTTGCTGGTTGGCACCTTTGGGGCCTAAGTCTATACCTTCTCATTTGTCGCGCCTGTGCGGAAGCCTCGCATCCTAAACTGTGAATTCCCCTTCGGGACCTCGCATTCCCAGGCCTTAAGATAGATGAATTCAGAGGGGTGCGGTCCCCTAGACCCCGACTCCCATACTCACAGCACCTGGAGACCTATGGACACTTCGAGCCCTAGGATTCTACAGCCTCATTTGCCCCCGACGTCCTATCCCGAAAAAGCGCGACCTGCAATCCACACGCCCTCCTAGAATCGACAAAGTACTCGTGAACCCTGTAGAGAATCCCCAAAAACAACACATTGAAATTGGCCCTGTAAGTGTCAAACGTCTTTGGACAAAGCCATACAATTCTCGTAACGGACCCGAAGCAACCCTTTTCATGTGCAGCCCTAGGATGAAACAGCCCTGGAAAGCTTAAAGAAAGACCCCCGCCCCTTCCGAGGTCTCCGACTTTGGTGGCAGTCTTCCTCGTGGGCCTTCTCTGGCCCAGGGCGAACGGACCAGGCTGGCTCCCACAGGTTCGGGGTCAGAGATTGGGGTTGGAGCTTTAGGGGCCTTTAGGGTCTAAAAGGTTCAGGGCCTTATAACTTAGAGCTTTTGGGCTTTTGGCTTGGAGTTTCAAGTTTTAGGGTCTACAGTTTGGGTTTAGGGATTTTGGGTTGTTGGGGGGTTCAGAGCTTAATGGCGAACGGTCGAAACAGTTAGCGGTAGCATTCCTTCGGGTTCCTGAATTAGCGACAATCAGGGCGTACTTAGGGCTTAAGGGGTGTGACCCTAATTCCTGCAGCGTGTCAGGAGCACTGGCGGGAATGATCGTGGGCTTCACGGTTGGCATCGCCAGGTGCTGCCTGCCTCGTTGTTGCTTCTTGTGCTTTTGCAAAGCTCTTGCAAGCTTGGAACCGCATCGCATTGACAAGCCTGAGCTGAGTTGGTGCTGCTGCTTCTGTTTCAGTGCCGCTCCTGCTGCTGCTGCTGCTGCTGCTGCTGCTGCTGCTGCTGCTGCTGCTGCTCTGAGCATACGACTGCTCCTACCGCTACAGGCCTACTCTTAGTGCGATAGTTTTGCTGCGAGGGTTTCGGACAGCCTTGTGAACTCTAGCCTAGTTGATGCAAGCAAGAGTGGACCCTGAGCCCCAAAACCCCAAAGTCCTAATCAAGTACCCTGAGACCCAAAACTCGAAGCCCTGCTGTTCGTTCGAATGCCGCCAGGTTTGTGGCAACTCGTATCGTGACCTGCGACGAGGGCGACACCTACAGCCTCACATGCACCCTGACGGGCCTTAACTGGTTTGATAAGCTAAATTTTAAACTACATGCAGGTTTAGTTTACTAGGGTTGATAAAGGCGTGGGACTTCGGGGTGTAAGGTGTTGGGCTCAGGGCTAAGATTAGAGGTTAGGTTGGGCGGGGTCAGCCTATAGGGTGTGTAGAGCTCAGGGTGCAAGGTTTAGGGTTGAGGGTTTGTGGTTAGGCGTGAGTTGACGGCTTTATGGTACTACTCGGAAGTTCAGATTTTCCACATTGTGCATACATGCTCCTCACGATACTATACCGGCCTGACTACTAGCAAATACTCAAAGTTGCCGGCAGAGTTGATGTTTCCTCTTGTGTCACTCCTTCTCCGGTGATACACTTGGCAGCCGAGGTATGCAGTTCAACCACATGGCCATGATCCTCTTTGCTGGGCCCTGAGTTTCGGAGAGTTGCAGAGAGTCCGCGACCCCTGTTGTCATCGTCATCACCATCGTTATCATCACCATCATCATCGATGTCTTCGGCATCATCGCCAGTTCGTCGTCATGATCAGCAGTATTGTCTTCTCGTCAGCGCCAGCATCTGAAATAGTCGTCAGTATCATCATTCGCATCATCAGCAGCCACTAGAACCCCAAAGCCTGGAACATCGACGCCACCTATCCCAACTGTGGAAACAGCTAATTAGTTATCGTATAGGCTTGTAGCCCCCATGTAGGTATGCTTTGATTTAACTTATCAATCCCAAGACTTGCCCGGCGAAGACCAAGGCGATTGCAGCTATCGTCACGGTCGTGGTGAGTCTTCTGACGAAGCCACCCGAGCCAAGCCAAGTGCAGGGCACAACATGGTGGAGGCGCTCTTTCTGGAGCTGGCTTGCTCTAGGGTCTATAAGGAGAGACTGCGAAGGCTGTAGAGGTTCATTCAGGACTGGGGATTTGCGGTGCAGCATATGGCATATTCCTTAGTTGACGAACTGGGGAGCCTCCGGGCCAGAGTCCGAGTTTAGAGTGGTTTGGAGTGCACGGGTGGGCAGACTTGGAGCTCGGGATCGGGGCAGGGACTTGGCAAAGTGTCGGGTTTATGGTGCAGGCCACAAACCTGTGACTATTGCTGTTGCACCTGAAAGTGGGAGAACTCAGAACCTAGCACATCCTCAAGGAAGGTTAGATCCTTGCCGGGTTTAGCAAGATGCGGCTTCTGAGGGTGCTTGGCTCGCCGTGGCAGGTCCGATGCTGCAGGGTGCGAGAAAGAGGCACGCTTCAGCACATGCTTGAAGGGAGAAAAAAAAGGGCACTGTAGTGCTATCTGCCAGCACTGCGCGAGCTCGAACCTGTGCACGAAGCACAGGTGCTTCAGCTTGCATAGGTGCTTGGGCTGAGTGGCTAGCTATGCTTCCAGACAGTGCTCTGTCCAAGTGTCGGTTCTTGTGGTTGGAATTCTAGTTTCCGTCATGTCCTTCTCAAGATCCAACTTTGTATTTTGGCCCCTTTGGCCCTGTGTGGAAGCAGCTGTAAAGATGTTACGGCAGAGCTTGCATGTGCTAGCTGAGGATTCAGGCTTTCAGTGTCGGAGCTTCGCATTTTAGCACCTACTGTACGTCAAGGTCCGGGGTCATGTGGGCTCTATCAATGCATCCAACAACCTCAAGCTTTAGGGTTATACGCGGTTATAACTTAACCGTCTACTATGCCATTATGAACTCGCGTCCTACTGTTTTGTACAGCTTGCGGTTAGAAGTGATGGTTGGGTTTAAGATGCAGCTTTCCCGTTTTGCGGGGTGTAGACTTATCGGGTTTGGGGTGTATTTAGGGTTTAGGTTTTGGGGTTTATAGAATTTATGGGAACAGAAGTGCGTGCCGGAGAGCTGAGCCGTCACACTGGCAGAGCTGAAGACAAGAACCGCAACTTCTACATGGACAATTTATCCTAAGCTTTGAGTCTTCAAGAAGCCTCACACCGGCCTTGGCAGGATCGTTTGTGATTGAATATATTCGAGTCATGAGTCCTATGCAACTGTCGCTTCATACGTGAGTTTCAGAAAAATCAGACCCCAAACTAGTCGGAGTCTCAGTATACAGACCACCCAGAAAGGACGCCTAACATGAAGAACCCGCCGTATGGTCGCCAGGGTGACGGCAACCCTGGTTTCGGCTCCCTCTGCGCCGCTGGGATTCTGCTGATGACAATGGCCGGTGCGCCCGAGGGAGTGTACATGTGCAAGCACTTACATCTCTCGATCTACCTATCTATCTCTATCGATCAATCCATCCCCCTGGCCTAACTGCCCACCTAGCCACCTACTTGTCCACCTATCGATCAGTCTACACCATGTTTATAATTCCAGGCGAAGAATTCAGAACTTAGGCCCGTTTAGGCCGGGAGCTTCGACATTGGGCTATGTATGTCGTTGAAGAAAGCTTCAAGGTCAAGAGGGTTTAGGTCTGCTGGCAGAGGAGTTTAGGGGACGCAGGGAGAATGGGGCGGAGTCCCAGACCCTGAGAAGGAGCTTGGAATCTCGAGCTGTGTATCTACCGAAAGAGGTCTTGGGGTACTCCTTAGCTCTTGGCTTCTCACTTTTCGATTCGATGGCTTCGAGTTTCGGATGTGGGCCCATAAACCCTGAAGCTAAAAAACATGTTCGGAGGACTTTCAACAGCCCCCACTCTCCTCAAGACTTTCCTTGACGACCGCAAGCCGCAAGTTCCTGAACTTGAAACCTGCAGCCCTGAGATCCCCCAACCCGAATCCGAAGTCCGCAAGGCACCAACCCCAAAGCTCTGCCTCTTAGCCTCTAAGCCCTGAGCTCTAAGCCTTGTAAATCCGATGCAAAGCTTGTCCAGGTCTATGCTTTGGTTTCGGCTACAGCAATGCTGACCGCCAAGTAGTCGTTGGAGGATCACTGTTGGCTCCCATAGGCCTGGGTTTATAGGGCTTCCGCGCGGGCTTTCGGGTTCAAGGTTTGGGATGATCTGGGCTTTGAGTCTAAAGTTTTGGGGCTCATGTTTGGGGTGGATGGGGGGCGAGCTGGAAGGGCTGTAGGGCTTAAGAGCTCATTCTGCCGGGTGCCTTCTACTCCGCAAGGCTCCTCGGTTTAGCTGTCACGTGCACACCACACACCGGGAATGTCCGAACATATGACTCCACCGCACCAGCGTAGGCATCGTAGGCAACGAGGAATCCTGATAGTTTAGTATATCATACCAACATCAGTATTGTTGTCATGATTGTCATGGCTGTTATAATGGTCAATGTCTTCGTTACGGGTGTACTCTTTTTGTGTCGCTCCTTCTTCTTACAAATGCAGAAGAACCTACTGCAATTCGAGGTTCAAAGCTTTCGTGCTATTTTATCCTAGCCTCCCTAACCCCGACACGCAGAGTCCGGTAGCCAGCAGCCCGAAGCTGGAGCCCTTGTGGCTGGGAGTTCGCTCCAACATGTGCCCTGAACCCCAGCGCCTGGAAAGAAGATCATGCCTAAAACAGCCCTGACCGCGATACTCTGGATTCCTCGCTCTCCAAGCTTTTAGTAGCAGCGCACCGTGTAGGCATCGCGTGCGTTGCCGCCTGAGGCTCAGTTCCACTGTGAGGCAGACTTGAAGTTTCGGGGCTTAGGTTTGAGATCGTGGGAATGTTCTCGGGCTTGGGCTCGGGTTTGCAGCGCTCTTCAATGATGCTACCGTAGTGGCTTCAGGGTTTACATAGTCGAGCTTAAAAGCTTATGACATTCAGATGGCTCGCCATGTCCTCCAAACTACAAAGTCTTCTCCATACAACCGCCAGAAGACCCACATCCAAGCAGTCTGAGCCATGATCGGAAAGCTGGGAACAGGAAAACTTGTCTTATTTGGGTGCAGTTCTGGAGCAACAGTGGCATCACGACCCAGTGCCTCAGCGAAACAGCCGAGGTCCTGTTCATCGCCGGAGCTCTTCTCCAGAGACTTCGAGCCTCCAGGAGGCTGAAGGGTTGTGGGATTCGACCGTGGTGGCATGTACATTCATACATTCGTACATACATATGTACATACAGTAGCAAAATTAGCGCCCGGCTTTCGTTGTCACCTTGGAAGCAGGCTTGCATCTGAGATTCTGGATAGTTGTAGCCTCAGGGCAACGCTTGAGGCGACTTTCGGAAATTCGGTGACCTTAGCCCTCTGGGTGATCCCTGGAGCAGGCGCATTTTCAAGCAGATCACAGGGCTCCAGCCTGACGGCGCTGAAGCAGACAAGAAGGCAACGGGGACCTCGGAGTGCCTTTGGGTCGTTGTCTGTTCATATCCCCCCCAATCCCACAATGTTATTGGCGTATGTGACATACCCCATAGACTCGGTGAGCGATGAGGGGAGAAGAGATTGTGGGCTTGGGGATTCTGCAGGTTTTTCGGGGTTGTACTCGCACTCAGGAGGACCTACACCCTGAAATGTTTACGAGCGTCGCAACTGAAGTGTGGCACCCCGAGAGGCTGCAGAAGAGCCGACGAAGGACGAAGGTGTCATCGAGATGTAACGAGAACGCAGCTTCGCTCCTGACTACATGTCTTACTCAGGTTGGGTTTAATGTAACCGAAAAGGCATACACGCGCAAGGCTTCCTCTTCTGACACCTTTACGTGTCGCTTAGATGAGATGGGTCTTTTGGGTTGGAGGTCGACTGGGCTTTATGAGTTGAGAGATTCAGGCTTTAGGGATCTATAGGTGCTGGTGCTGCGTGGCTGGCGGTTATTTGTTTTTGGTGTTGCGACCTGCCTACAAACTCAGGGATGTATCAGAATCATTTCGCCGTGTTCATGAAAGCCTCAGCTCAGCAGCCACCTCTAAAGCTCTTATCATTTTCGGTGTATTTGTGTTTTGCTCTTGCCGTAAAAATATGTTGCGTTCTCTGGTCGAAGCTAATGTAGCCCTTCGTAGACTTGTGTTCTTCAGCTAAGTTCAGAGCACAGGTGGCAAGACACGTCCTCAATGATCTAAGCTATCCTCTTATGATGGTATGTTTGACACATGTTTCCACAGCAACCTTCACACCGTACCCTGAATCCTGCCCCCTGGACTCTAAACTCTGCCGCCAGCACCGAAAACGTTGAGGCATTTCCGGATGTTGCGCAGCTGCACGTGTAAAGAAGCTTGCCCACATGAGGCACCTGTTTGCTTATGCGTACGTTATTTTCAATGTAGCACCTGAGCAGACACGCAAGCACGAAGACTTGCTGTCGCAGCGAATTCATGTGCCCATGCCGTCTTGCATGAAATTTGTCATTTTGTTTATCCCAGAGGGCGATCTGATTCGAATAGGGTTTCAGGACGTGAGTGCGCGCAGAATTCACTACTATGACTGACTACTATTCCCAGCCAAGGCAAGGGAGGTCTGTATATCACATGCAAGTTGGCTTTCAGGGCTATAGCTGGGCATGCTGCTGGATGAGCCAAGCCAACCAGGCATCTCAGATGTGCATGTTCATAGACCGGAACAGACCCCGCTGGAAATGACGAGATAGACATCCCCGTCAGCTCTCATCCCCTGGCTGAAGATGTCTAGCTGCGGCTTGGGGGGGTTGCAGAAGTGAGCTCAGAGTGTTAGGCTGGAGGATTTGAATGTCATCTTTCAGGGTTTGAGATGTGAAGTGACTAGGCTTTTGCGGGTTCTCAGAGTCGGGTGCCGGTGATCTGTTGGTGCCATGCACTGGGTTGGTCAAGGTGGCCTCGTGATTCCGAGTTAGAGTGTGTACGGTTGAATGAGGGTAATTAGAGCTTTGCTTTGCAAGACATAGATGTTAGGGTCCGGCTCAAATCAGGGCTCTTCTGTGAGATGAGAGTTTGGTTGCAACTTTGGGCTTTGGGGTGTGCCTGATTTCTTCTGCTTTCTCGAGGGTTGTCACCTGGGTGATACTTCGGGGTCAGGGCTTTGCTTTGCCCGAGCGCGTTGAGGTTCTGACGGTAGGTTGCTACGGAGTCGAGTCTCAGCTCTTGATCAAGGCTTTGGGCCCTGGCCGCTTTCAGTATGAAACGCTTTCGTAGAAAGCCTTACAGACTCCTGGTTCGATAATTTGCTTGGAGATTGCAGAAGCGGGGGGGGGGGGCGACCTCCGAGATGGAAGTGTCGCTGCCGCCGGATTCCTCGGGCATCGATGCAACCGACGCGGTGCAGCTGGACTGGCAGACCGACGTGCTGCCAATTGCCATGAGGACCTAGACGCGGCAAAGTTCAGGTGTGGTTTTTTTCGTCAAGAAGGTTACCTGTATGTGAACCCTCAAAGCCAACCTTATGGGAGTCCTGAGCATAGTCAACAAGGAGGGACAGAAAGGGCCTTGAAGAAGGGCCAAGGATTCAATCCAGGCTGATCCTTTGAGCCGGAATTGCCATCGGACATGAGCCTTATGAACGCAAGCAGACACAACCACTGCTGCCGCATGGTAGGCCAGACCTGCATGAGTCCCCTGGCGCAACCCCAGTTAAGTTGAAAGGACAACGCATCGCGCACATAACCAACAACCGACACCCCAACCAGCACCGAATAAATTCTTAACGAGGACAGAAGCAGCCTTGAGCACGACCTGTCCAACTCTTGCAAGATGCCAGTGTGAAGAGGTGCCTGGCATCAGGTCAGGGGTGCATGAATGAGATGTTTCAGAGGTTCGTGTCATTATGGTATAAGTATAAGTGTGGATACACAGGTTTCGAGTTCAGTTTCTGTGGCCCGCGTGCAGGGATTTGGGGTTGATTCGGAATTCAGGGTTGCTCTGGAGACTCAAGTTTCGGACGTTCGGTGCTGGGGAGTTATTAGCACTCTAACAGCCAGGAAGTTTTGATTCAATCGTCTGTGCTTTCACTTGTTGTGGCCGCGCAGCAGCTTGTGGCTTGGTGTTTGCTGAAATCCGCGGCTGTAGTCATCCCAGTATGGACAATGTGCGTGGGGTGCTGGAGGTCTACCCATTGAACCTTGAGGCCAGAATTTGCAAGAAGCTAGAATTCAATGCCCGCAGCCATCCGCAGCCTCCCTTTGTTGTTGTTCGCAATTCAAACCCTTGCTCGTATCTCCCTAGTCAGGCAACCTGGCGTCTCGACACAGCTGACATCGCTGGCAAGGGTAAAGGAGATCAGGTTGTGAGCCACGAGCTGCGGCTTTGGGGGTACCGTTGTCAGCTCTATTTCTATCCGCAAGGACACACCTTGGCAAGCGAAGGCTTCTCCAGCTTGTACATCTGGCCATCGACCATCGCGGCTTTGGACTTGGAAATGGCTGGAACAAGTCATCACATTAACATAACACAGGAGACGCTGAAACTGATGAAGGAGACAAACCTAGTGTTGCGGGGACATCATGACTTCTGCAAGATCCCTGACATGAGCAATCCAGTCGAAATTCATGTCAAGTTCAAGCACATCGACGGCAAGGATGTCAAGACGCTCGCGGAGAAAGCAGCAATCCGGCCCCGAAAGTTCCAAGAAGCAGCCACCAGAATCCAGGCTCTGTGGCGTGGGGTTGAAGCCCGGCGACGGGAGAAACTTCGCCACGCCGAGGAGCGGCGGTGCCACCGCCAATCCCGAGAGCTAACGGCGGCCCTGCACCTACAGCTGGCATGGCGCCTATGCCAGCGACGCCTGCAGCGCCGTTGGCACGGCAGGCTGGTGCAGGTGCAGAGCACTCCGTACGACGCCATCCTTGCCTTTGAGTCGTTGTCGCAGTTCCTGTCGACGGGGGATATCCGGTTCTTGCAGCACGCGGAGTCGAAGCTGCAGGTGGCGAGCGCCGCCAGGTTCCGCATCGTCGCAGTGGTTGGCCTCTTTGACAAGGGCAAGACCTTCCTTATTAACAAGCTCTTCGGGGTGAACCTGCCTTCCGGGAAGCTCCACACTACCAAGGGCTTGAGCTTTCTTTGGATTGAGGAGCGTCGGATGCTGGT